GCATATAGTGCTATAAACTATATCACTCCTCTTCTTTTTTGACAGAGTTGCTAACAATTCAACTCAAAAGGCGAGAACATGGAGGTGGACTTTCTAGTTGTCTAGGCAGAAAGGGAGCTAGGGGTGACCTGAGCTAGGTGTGGTGATGCACATATGTAATCCTAGCACTCAGGAGACTGAGGCAGGAGGATCGTGGTGAGTTCAAGGGCAGCCTGAACTACATAGTGAGACCCTGTCTCAAAAATAAAATAAATAAATAAATGTGACTTGAAATTTTCCATTAGAGTTCTATATGATCTCCAGGGATCAACCAATTCCTTCTCCATTTTGGGCCTGGAACCACTTAACTGCCCAAAGCAGAGAACGTGTTGATATGTGAAAGTGCTGAGAGATACTGGAGAGGGACACAGACACATTGGACTGCAATTTAACGTCAGAGTAAAGATTACTGAAACAGAAGTGTGGATTTCAGTCTTTGTGGGGTTTTATAAGGAAAACAAAAGAAAAAAAAATCACAACAGAGTGAGCTCCTAGCACCAACTGGACCAAATTTTAGGCAGCCCTGTTTCCTGGAACCTCTGTCTCTGAGTGGCGTTTTTTCAGACACGAAGGGCGGGAGAAGATCACTGGAGGACAACGCTTGTGCCTCTATGCAGAACTCTACTGCCATCGTGCGGAGAGAGTTTCAGTAGATCAGGCCCTATGACAGCTTCCTTCCCATCAGGCCCAGCTGTTAAAGAGGCTTGACTCCAGGAAAGGCCTTCCTGCTTTCTCCTTAAGACCCTAGGAGAGATCTGGACACCAGCGTTACCTCGGTGTAGAACCTGGGTGATGAGGGGTCTGGCATGGATCAGCAGCTCCCCAGAGGTGCCATCACTGGAAATCGTGGGGCTGGGCCTGGGTTCCTCCCAGGGTGGAAGCATCAGCTCAGAGGCAAATGCAGGATCCTGGGGCTCCTGGCGGCTCTTCCTATCCTTTGTAGGAAGCATTTGTTGGTGGAAGGCTGGCATGGTGGTGTACTATCTAAACCCTGCACTAAGGCTGGAGAATCATGAATTCCATGTCAGCCTGAGCTACATAGGGAGTTCAGGGCCAGACTCGACTACAGAGGGAGTCAAACCAATAAAAACAACAACATATACAAAACCAGAAGTTTGTAGGCCAGGCTCGAAATGTACCTGAGTGTAATCCACAGTAGCACCAAAAAATAAAAGACCTTCAATTGATGTCACTGTGCAGTGCTGCACGGATCCTTAGTTGGTAGGTGTGAAAAGAGCAAGAACAGTTCACTTCCAGGTGGTATACAGTAGCAGCACGTATATTTGCTAAAGGTCTCAGAGGCGCCCTATTATCTGGAGGGCATCAGCTCTGCATAAAAAGTGGAGGACCAAGACCAGTTAAAAGGATTGGAGATCAACCCACAGGTGAAGAGGCTTGTCTGTTGGAGATGGTGTTACCTGTGACCTCACATAATGTTTTCCTATTGTTCTGGCAGGTGCATTGTAAAGAAGCACAACTGCTCCTAGAAATACAAAGCAAGTGCCAAAAGTGATGCCAGTGAGAAAGGCAGAATAAGAGACTCCATCACTACATCTCTCCAGGAAAGAAACCAAAAGCAATGAACTATGATTTACAAGGGCATTTTTTCAATAAGCAAGAGACATTTATGATAACCTACAGCTGGTAGTTTACTTGAGGGTGAAAGACTGAAAGCTTTGTTCTAAGATCATGAACAAGGAAAAAAATGCCCATTTTGAACCGTTGTATTGAATTTGTACTAGAAGTTCTTGCCAAGGTATTCAGGCAAGAAACAGAGAGAAGGCACCCACACTGGAAGAAAGAAGGAAAATGATCATTGTTAATGCCATCATCTCATACACAGCAATCCTTAAAAATTCACAAAAATCCCATCAAACCTATGCAGCAAACCTTGTAGAACAGAAAAGGAACTTGTAAAGATTACTTGCAGAGCTAAGTCTGGTGGCTCATGCCTATAATCTCAACACTCAGAACAATCTAAAAAGAAAATTAAGAAGTCATTTACAACAGCATCAAAATAAATAACAGACTTAAAACTATGTACCACTAAAGAGATAAAAGGCTAGTGTAGTGAAAGTGACAAAATATTGCTGAAAATATCCTTATTAAATTAAAAGGCAACCTGTGTTCAGAATCTGGAAGACTGTCAATATGGCAATACTACCCAAAGGGATCTGCAGATTCATTGCAATCCATATTATCATCCCAGTGACCATTTTTGCATAAATGGAGTAGTGGCCCAGGGCTTTCTTTGGTGGGAATTAAAATTGTGTGGAACTACACAGACGTAAAATTGGCACGGCATTGTGAATGTAGTGAATGCCACTAAATTGCACACAGTAAAATGGGTAATCTTTTTTTTTTATTACTTAAATTCTTTTATTGGTACATTTTAGGTATACAGCACATTTACATTTCTCAATGGGAGCTTGTACCTTTACATGATGCATCTTGGTTCTTATTTTTTCCCCATTCCTAGCCCTCCCTTCACCCCCTCCACCCTTCCCTATTTACAAAGACTTTATTTACATTTTTTCCATTTCTCATCATTTTTCCTTTCCCTTCTTTCCTTTCCCCTGTCCCTCCCACTACCCCTACCCCTTTGGACCTTTTCTTCCTATTTTGCATTATCGATTATTCATTCTAATAATTGGTACATTTTAGGTATACAATATAATGACATTCATCATTGGAAATTTGCACCTTTGCATAATCTCTCTTGGTTCTTATTTTTCACCCTTGCTCAGCCCTCCCTCCCTCCCTATTTACAAAGATTTTGTTTCCATAAAATGGGTAATCTTATGTTACATGGACTTTACCATAATTTTAACAAGTGACTAATATGTTTTTTGGAGACACAGTCTCGCTCTATAATTCTGGCTGGCCTTGTACTCACTATGTAGCCCAGGCTGGCTTTGAACTCATGGCAGTCCTTGTGCTTCAGCCTCCAGAGTGCTGGGATCACAGGTGTGGGCCACCATGGCCGGTTTCAAGTGGCGATTTTTTTTTTTTTGAGACAGGGTTTCACTATATCAGACTGGCCTTGAACTCCTATATAGTCGGCTGGCCTCAAACTCACAGAGATCCTCCTGCCTCAGCCTGCCATGTGCTGGGATCACAGGCGGGTGCCACCACGCCCAGCAAGTGGCAATATTTTTTAAACATGTCAGTATACTACACCATCAAATATTAATTATATTTCAAGTATATTGTAAGTAAAAATATTTGCATTAAAAAGTATAGTGTGTGAGAATTTGAACTCTGCTTTATAAAACTACATATGATAAATATATAATATAGAAGGAAAAAATTTAGCATATATGGCACAGACTTTTTTTCTTCCTGTAATGAGAACTGAACCCAAGATCTTCACACTGAACTACATCTTCAGACTTTTTTCATTTCATTTATTTTGAGACAGTTTCTTGCTAAGTTGCCTGGGATGGGCTTAAAGTTGTGACCGTCCTGCCTCAGCCTCCCAGAGTGCTGGGCCTATAGCTATAGGACAGCATGCCTGGTCACAGGTATTTTAATAGTGGTTGTTTCTTCTCAGTGGGATTGGCTTGCCATATGATGTCTACTTTGTAATTTGTTAAACATCCAGAGTGAAATGAAAACTATGTAGCACTAAAAATGTCTATGGATGTGAATATATGCCAGTGGCGGTGTTAGGTGGGTCTGAAGGCTATGTAAAGTGAAAGATGTGCATAGTTACAGCTGGACAAATGAGTAGCTGAGGCAGGTGTATATACATGCAACTGTATCCATATACAAAGTTTTAAAAGCTGTGTATTTGCGATCATGGACAGTGTTTTGAGTATGTGTATGAACCTGACAGTTTAAGGCGAGCTCGTATATCTTTACTTTTATTCCTACCTATATAAGTGGACGTTAATCGAAGAATATGACTGTACAGTACCCATCTTTAAGTTTTCTCGGGCACACATCAGGGTGTCTGTATTTGAGACACGACAGTTTTCAACAGGTCTATCTGAAGTTTGCCTTCTCTCTTTGTGACTTTTTAAAAGATAAAATTCTAAGATCACTCCTGAGGCTCAGCCACGAGGGTCACCACAAGGTTGAGGCCAGGCTTGGCTACATAGTTTAAAGCGAGCCTGGAGTACATAGAGAGACTCTGACTCATAAAACCAAACCAATTAACCAAACCAAACAAACAAACAAAAGGACCAAAAAATAAAAAACTTAGGACCAGAATTTGAGATAAAACTTTTTTTTTTTTTTACAGTAATAGAGATAGAACCGAAACCCTTTCCAATAAGCTATATCCCCAGCTCTTTATTTTTTTTTATTTTGAGACACTCTCCTTACGACAATGTGAAAACCTTCCTGGGAATCAGAAGTGAAAATATCTATTCTAAAGTCCAATGAATAATGAGATAGAGTTTAAATGCAAATGTATTGTATTGTTTCACTGTCTTAGAACTTTGTCTTCTATGTATTGAAACAATGGGAGTTGACATATAAAAGGTAATCAGTGTTAGAGTTTTATGATGGTGCCTGTCTCTTAATGAGCGTGTGGCTGTTTTCGGAATCCTTTTGAAGTTCCATGTCCGAGTTATGAAGGAGAGAATGTAAGAGCTGTCCCTGTTGGAAAAATTAACCCACATACACAGTACAGCCCTGGGCACCAGGGATAGGACACTTACTGTGGAAAAATGCTTGCACTCCATTGTTAAAGGATGAATCCATGATGCCAGTGTGATCTCCGATTGGAATTTACAGTGCATTAGTGACAGTCTTTGTGTCACTCCAGGTGAGACACTGTGTAGCCTTCAGTCTTGAGAGCTACCCAGACCATCCTCTTAAAGCTTCACTTAAAATCAGCCTCTCAGAGCACACAAGGACCAGTACTTAGGTCATTAGCAGTCACAGGGAGAGAGTCCAGATGAGAACCAAGTAGCCTCGAGCCTAGGATGTAAGCATTTTCTTTTCCTTCCTAGGCATGGATTCCTGAGGTTTGGCCCGCAATATGTCAACACAATTTGATAGCATGAGGAAACACTTGAGATACAATGCTGCGTGAAGAACAATAATAATGGGAAGACTTGGTTGTGTGGAAATTCAGCTCTTTAAAAGTTGCTTGCTGAGGGTGGGTAGCTTATCCTGCTTACCTTCTTTCATTTCTGGGGATAAAACAGAGGGTCTTGCTCATCAGATCTACCTTTAATATCAAATGGGTAGCAAAAGCAGGAGTCTAAGAGTAGAGCAAGGTTTTGCAAGTTGACCTAAGTGCAATATAGCTACAGTGTTTAGTGCTTTGTCTCTTTTGGCCCAAACAAAAGCAAAATCACAGCAGAGTGAGCTTGCAGCACCGTGCTGGATAAAATGCAATGAGGATACCAGATAAAATGTAATGTAGCCTAGCCTAGTGGTGCTAGGTAATCCCAGTATTTGGGAGGCTGAGGCAGGAAGATCACTGTGAGTTCAAGGCCAGCCTGGGCTACACAGTGAGTTCTAGGCCAGTCTGGATTACACAGCAAGGGCTTTTCTTCAGAAAGAAAAAAACAAAATGCAAGGCAGCCATAGTTCCTGGTGCCTATTTCTCTAGGTGTTGTTTTTTTTCAGATAGGAAGGGGAAGACAATAGCACTGGAGAACAGCACTTACGCTGATATGCGGAGCACTACTGCCATCGTGCGGAGAGAGTTTCAGCACATCGACCGCCATTAAAACTCCATTCCTATGAGGCCTAGCTGTTGCGTGAAGATCTCCCCCAAAGTGAGACGCAAGAGGCTAGGACTCTAGGCGAGGACTCCTTGCCTCCTCTAAGCCCCCAAGAAAGACCTGGACACTGGGGCTACCTGGGTAGTGAGGGGTCTGGGGTGTACCAGCCGCTGCTAGGAACCGCCATCACAGGAAGACGTGGGGCGGGGCCTCGGTTCCTTCCAGGGTGGATAGGATCGGAGGGACCCATTCAAAGCCTGGCTCCTAGAAGCACCTGCCACCTGTTCCTCCCGTTGGGACAGAAATTTGCAGGCCAAAGCAAAAGGGAGCCAAAGCAAAAAAGAATACTGATTAGTTCAGCATCTTTTAGTCCCAAGCTTCAAGTAATTTGATTTTCTTTGGCAAAGCTGAGAGAAAATAGTTCTATGCTTTACTCTCTTGTGACTTTGCACGAGATAGGTCTTTCCTCTTCGGAAGTTTTGTTTGATCTGAGATCATAGCCACCCACTAAGTGCTCATAAATATCATCCAGAACAGGTTTGTAGATTATACTCTGACAGAATCTAGGAGGAACCTAAAGCCCAGTAGCACGGTGGCGACACATAAAGGCTTGCTAACTCTTTTCTTCAGGGGGAAGAATGGAGCTAAAGGTCCCCAGGGCCTGTTTTTGTCTGAATGGGCTCTGGACAGGTCCACACTGGGAGGAACCGAGGGCCCGCCCCATGACATCCTGTGATGGTGGCTCCTGGCAGCTGCTGGTCCACTCCAGGCTCTTCACCACGCAGGCTCTAGGCTTTACAGGGTACACATCTCTCTTGGAGCCTTAGAAGAAGGCAAAAAGGTGCAGCCTGGAGTCTAAGCCTCCTCTAACTGCCTACGGGTAAGCCCTTCCTCACCAGCTCTTGGGGGAGGAGCTGTAATGCTGCCCCATATTCTGAAACTCTTTCCGCATGATGGCAGTAGTGCTTCACGTGTGTAAACCAGTATTGGTCACAGTGGCTTTTTCCTGTCAAAAAACCAAAAACAAAACCCCAAAACAACAATGACACAAAACCCAAAACCCACAAAGTTACAAAGCCTACCTGGAGACAGAGGCACCAGGAAACCTAGGTTCCTAGCATTTTAACTATCATGGTGCCAAAACATCAGTTGGCTGTGATTTTGCTTTTGTTTCTCAGGCCAAACTTTACCAAGATGCCAAAGCACCACCCTCCTCAGAAAGGTTGATTTCTCAGAAATTACATTTTCACTCTTCCTTGCTTATGCAGTTGTACCTTCATTTTATGCAATTCTACTCAGCATTCTAGGTCCATATAATGAAATTTTTCTGTCGGAAATTGTAAGTGTGAATCCTCAAATCAAACTTTTAAAAAACTTTTAAAAAGTGAAGTCACTCCAATGTCTCGCTTTTCACTGTGGGGTCATAAAAGGAGGAGCAGAGCTGCCCCCAGCACAGAGGAGTTGAACCTTCCACACCAACATACCACCTCCAGCGCCAACGAGCAGAGCAGCCCCAAGCTCAGAGGAGGTGAACCTGCCTGGCCACTGAAACACCACCCCCAGTGCCTAGGAGGTGAGCTGGGTAGGTGCCAGCAGCACACATCCCTCCCTCCCCTGTTGAAATGAGAGGACACGAAAAAAAGTCTCAAAACTGGACTTCAAGATTACCTACAGCAACCCCAAAGGGAAATGAGATGGAACAATCTGATACTCAACAACCTGGACTCCATGAACTAGCAATGGAAGAGGATCTGGAAAAAAATGAAATCAGAAATAATTTCTCAGGTAACAACAGAGATTGTGTCCATAGTGCAAGGTATGATTAATCTAGAGAAGACACAGATAGAAAAATAGAGGAGCTGAGGAACATGATGGAATCCCAAAATTGTAAAAAATGGAATCCATAAAACAGATGCAAACAGATTTAGGAGATTAAAAACTCCATTGAAAGTCTACACAGCAGGATGAGCCAATGTGAGGACAGAATTTCAGATATAGAAGATAAGATTGCAATTAGTGACCAGGAAAAGAAAAATTGCTTTAAAATTGTAAGGGACCACGAGAAATCAATCCAGCAGCTGCTAGACAATGCAAAGAAGAATAACGTAAGACTGATTGCAGTCAATGAAGAAACAGGAGAGAGAGCAGACAGCATAAAAAACTGTTCACAGAAGTGATGGCAGAAAACTTCCTGAGCAGGGGATGATAAGTCAATACGTATCAGTTATAACCATCAATGTTAATGGTCTCAACTCACCAATAAAAAGAATTAGACTGGAAGAATGGGTCAAGAAGCAAGATCCAACAATATGCTACGTACAAGAAACACACTTAATTCAAAAGGAAACTCATAGACTGAAAGTTAAAGGGTGGAAAATAATAGTCCATGTGACAGGAACCAGAAAAAAGGAGGAGTAGCAATCCTCTTTGCAAATCAAGTGGATTTCAAACCATCATTGATTAAGAGAGACAAAGTAGGACACTACATCCTTGTAAAGGGAACAAGCCAAGACGAAGAGATGACAATCATAAATATATATGCACTGAACACTAGTGCACCCAACTATATAAAACAAATACTAACAGACATGAAAAATCAAATAACCACTAATACAATAGTAGTGGGAGACCTCAACACCCCACTGTCACAAATAGATCAACTAGACACAAAATAAGCAAGCAAATACTAGAATTCAATGGAACTCTTGAACAAATGAACTTAACATGTTTACAGAGTACTCCACCCCACAAAAGCAGAATGCACATTTTTTTCAGCTGCACATGGGTCATTCTCCAAAATGGGCTACATACTCATAGAACATGTTTAAGTAAGTGCAAAGGAACTGAAATTATCCCCTGTATATTATCAGGCCATAGTGCGATGAAATTGGAGATCAATAGTAAAAGAAACCTCAAGATTTTCATAAACACATGGAAATTGAACAACACTTCTGAATAACCAATGGGTCACATGGAAATTAAAGGAGAAATCAGACAGCTCCTTCAAATAAATGACAAAGACAATACAAGATATCGGAATCTATTGGGGCGCAATGAAAGCAGCCTTACAAGGGAAATTCATGGCACTGAATACTCATATTAGGAAAACAGAGCGAGTGCAATTAAACAACCTGCTGCTGAATCTCAAGCTTCTACAAAAAGAAGAGCAGGACAAACCTGAAGCTCATAGAAAGGAGGAAATTATAAAGATCAGGGCAGAAATCAATGCAATGGAGACTAAGAAAACAATACAAAAAAATCAATGAAGCCAAGAGTTGGTTCTTCAAAAGAATAAACATAATTGACAAAACTTTAGCCAAACTTATCAAAAAAAGGAAAGAAAAGGACCAAATCCATGCAATTAGGAATGAAAAGGGTGAAATTACAACATACCTAGCAGAAATCCAGAGGATCATCAATACCTACTTCAAGAACCTATACGCCAATAAGATGGAAAACACAGAAGAAATGGACAGATTCCTAGATACATATGAATTACCAAAGTTGAGCAAAGAAGACTTAAAAATTCTAAAGGACTCAATATCAATCAATGAAATTGAAAACATAATTAAAAACTTACCAACTAAGAAAACCCCAGGTTCTGATGGCATTACTGCTGAATTCTACAAGACATTTAGAGAGAAACTCCTGCTACCACTGTTTAAAGTCTTCACTGAAATTGAAAGGGAAGTAATATTCCCAAATTCAATCCTGGAAGCAAGCATCACCTTGATCCCCAAAGCAGAGAAAGACCCAACCGAAAAAGAGAACTAGATGCAAAAATCCTTAATAAGATACTGGCAAATAGAATGCAGAAGATCATCAAGAAGATCATACACCCTGACCAAGTGGGATTCATCCCAGGGATGCAGGGATGGGTCAACATACACAAATCAATCAATGTAATACACTATATCAATAGAGCCAAAGACAAAAACCATATGATCATCTCAGTAGATGTAGAAAAAGCATTTGACAAAGTCCAACATACATTTATGATAAAAGCCCTACAAAACATTGGAATAGACGATCTCTACCTCAATCTGATAAAAGCCATCTATGAAAAGCCAACAGCCAATATCATGCTAAATAGTCAAAAACTGAAATCCTTCACACTAAAATAAGGAACAAGACAAGGATGTCCACTATCACCACTCCTGTTCAGTATAGTTTTGGAAACATTAGTCACAGCAATTAGACAAGAGAAAGAAATAAAAGGAATAAAGATAGGAAATGAAGAAATCAAATTGCCATTTTTGCAGATGACATGATACTCTATATACACAACCACAAGAACTTCACCAAAAGTCTTCTAGACTTAATAACAAAATTCAGTAAAGTAGCTGGATACGCGGTCAACAAACAAAAATCAATAGCTTTCCTCTACATAAACAACAGACTCACTGAGACAGAAATAGGGCAAACAATTCCTTTAACAATAGTGTCCAGGAAACTGAAATACCTAGGAATCAACCTAACCAAAGAAATCAAAGACCTCTTCTCTGAAAAGTATAGCACTCTGAAAAGAGAGACTGAAGATGATATCAGAAAATGGAAAGACATTGCTTGTTCCTGGGTAGGAAGGATCAGCATAATGAAAATGGCCATACTTCCAAAAGTGCTATATAGATTCAATGCAATCCCAATTGAAATCCCAGCAGCATACTTCACGGACCCTGAGAAAAAAATCCAAAAATTCATTTGCAACAACAAGAGACCTAGAATAGGAAAAGCAACTCTAGTCAACAGAGCCATGGCAAAGGGTATCATAACCCCCAACTTGAAACTATACTACAAAGCCACTGTGATAAAAACAGCATGGTACTGTCAAAGAAACAGACCTGAGGACCAGTGGAACAGATTAAAAGATGCAGAAACAACTCTATACACACTCAGCCACCTCATCATCGACAAAGGAGCCAAACACTCTCACTGGAGGAAAGATAGCCTCATTAATAAATGGTGCTGGAAAGATTGAGTTTCAGCTTGCCAAACATTAAAACTTGACCTCTATCTGTCCCCATGCACTACACTAAAATCGAAATGTATTAAAGATCTAAATATTAATACAGAAACACTGAACCAGCTG